CCGGATGGGTGGTTCCATCTCTCACACCACTCCAAGATTCAGGGGGCTCAGGGGGTGCAAATCGCAGCGGACCTAGAGGTGGCTTGGCAAAGGGAATTCCCAGGAAGGTATGGACCCCGGTATCGGCGCCGCTGACATGGACAAGACTCCCCAGCACCTGGCCCGCGTGTGTGGTCCGGATGGGACTGGCAGAGTCCTGGCCTGTTGGCAGAGAGACAGACATCACGGTTGGGTTTGACCAATCAGCTGCCCTCCCATACTGTTGGTATTGCTGCCTCCTTGCCACCCTCAGCTCAGCTCAAGGGATCCTGATATAAACACAGGCTTTACGAACTTCCTGCCTGTAACACTCCCTTCCCACTCTGCCTCCCTGGGCCTGTCTCCATCCCACCAGGCTGAGGTTCCTTGGGGCCTGGCACCATCATTCAGCCCTAAGACACTCAAACAAAGAGTCACATGCCCTTGTTGGGACTAGAGTGTCCTTTCAACTGTGTGCCAGGTCATGTGACAGTAGGATGATGGTGGGAATTGAGCAGGCATGTTTCCTGTCCTCAGGGATATCATGCCCAAGGTGGCAAGAAATGACATAAAGAAAGCATCCTCCAAACCATGAGTGATGTTGGTGATCCTCCCATCTCTGCCTCTCAAAGTGTGGGATAACAGGTGTGAGCCACTGTGCTTGGCCAAAAATATTTTAAAAGGTAGCCATCTGTGAGGTCAGGCAAATCTTCATGCCTGGGCTCCTGGTGAATTCTAGAATGTGGTTAAGGGCAGGCACGGGAGGAAGCCCTGCAGGAGTGCACCATGGGGCAGAGGGAGTATGGACTCCACCTGGGCAGATTAAATTAGGAAAGGGTTGGGAGAGACAGTCATATTGTAGACTTAGGAGAGTTTCAGGTAACAGGACCAAAGGCGGAAACAATCCTGGAGCTTCTGATAAGGGCCGGGAGAAGCCTGGCAGGCACACAGAGCCGTCACCTTTGCCCTGGAAACCAAGTTGTACCTTTGCCCAGGATGAAGTAAATAGCGTGAGGGACACCACAGCTCTTTGGCTCTTTTCTCTTGAAAAAGATATTTGCTTTTTCACCCAGGCTGGAGTGCAGTAGTGTGATGAAGGCTCACTGCAGCCTCAACCTCCCCTGCTAGAGTGATCCTCCCACCTCAGCCTCCCAAGTAGTTGGGACTACAGGTCACAGGCCACCACAGCCCACTAATTTCTTTAAATATTTTGTACACACCGAGTCTCACTATATTGCCCAGGCTGGCCTCCAACTCCTGGGCTCAAACGATTCTCCCCCTGGGCCTTCCAAAGTGCTGGGATTACAAGTGTGAGCCAATCACTCCCAGCCACTGCAGCCTTTTGGATCCCCTTTAGGATTTGGCCCCTGGGGGCTTCTGTTCCCCAAGGACCACTAATCTTGTCTGAAGCCCCTTTGGAGGGGTCAGGGCGCCCCCCTGGCCAAGGACGCCACACACTCAGAGCCAGATGCTGCGAGAAACTATTATTGTTATTACCGGCCGACAGCACCCTCTACTGCCACAATCATAAGAGGGAAATGGACGGAATCCCCGCACCCCCAATCCCTCACCCACTCAGACCCAGAGCTGCCGACCCGGCCTGACAAGTCCCGGCACTCCTGGGTCCCCTGTACTCTGCTGATTCTTCGCCGTGGTGTCCTGCAGCCAGACCCTTTCTGCGCTTCTAGGAGCCCACCTCGGGCGGCTGGGAGGCATCGCGTGGGGCTCACGAGTTCCACGCTGTCATCTACACCAGCTCCTGCCTCCCAGGCACCTTCCCTCCCGCACTGTCAGGTTCTGCCTCCGCAGCATTTGGCAGATCTGAGCCCGGTCCCTGTCGCCCCTCCGTGGGAGCCTCACCCTGGCCGCGGACTAGAAGCAGCAGGAGCCCACAGGCCACCGCACTCAGCCGCGGCCGAAGTCGGTGCAGCCGCATGGTCGGCTCGCTGGTCTCGGTTCGCTGCCGATGTACACGCTGCTGTTCACCCAGAGGCTGCCCGGGTCGTTCCAGCCGTGGATCAGTGCCTCGCCCAGCCTCGGAGTTTGGACTGGGCAGGGAGTGGGTGGGGTGCGCTGGCTTTTCAGGGAAAGGTGGGTCTGGTAGGAGAGCAGGACTGAGCAGTCATAGATGGGTGGGGATCTAGTGGCAGGCAGGCCCGGGCACGGCCACTTCCCTTCTGCCTAGGCCCCTTTAGCATCCTCCCACCGGGCTGTGCGATTTCTACAGCCCCTCCCTTTAAAAAGGCCAAATATTTCTTTCTCCGGGAGCTCGGCTGTTAAGACGCGAGTCTGCCAAGGCTCCTGGCTGAATAAAAAACCTCTTCCTTCTTTAATCCGGTGTCTGAGGAGTTTTATCTGCGGCTCGTCCTGCTACATTTCTTGGTTCCCTGACCGGGAAGTGAGGTGATTAACGGATGGTCGAGGCAGCCCCTTAGGCAGCTTATGCCTGCCCTGTAGAGCATCCCTTGGGGGAACTCTGGCCAGCTGGAGCGATGCGGATCCTGAGAGCGCTCCCGTGTAGGCAATTGCCCCGGTGGAATGCTTCCTCCGAGCAGTGCACAGCAGGTCCCCGTGGAGGATCAACACAGTGGCTGAACACCAGGAAGGAACCTGCACTTTAAGTCCGGACATCTGAAACTTGGTAAGACTAGTCTTTGGAACTTGCCCACTCCATTTGAGTGGAAGCGTGGCCTGATCACCCACAGCATGCCTGTACCAGCACTTTGGTTTTTGTTTTTGACTTGACTTGAATTGTTTGATACTTTGGTTTTGGTTTTGACCTGGCT